ATGACCGTTATGTAGCTATTTGCAACCCACTACTTTACACCACTCTTATGCCCAGGAAACTTTGTATTTGGCTGGTGGCTGGATCATATTTAGGGGGACTCTTTAATTCACTGATACATACTTGTGGCTTATTGAGGTTGTCATTCTGTGGACCTAATATCATCAACCATTACTTCTGTGACACAAACCCACTGTTGAAACTTACTTGCTCTGACAATCGTATCAATGAGATTATGCTTGTAATCCTCTCTGGGATCATAGCTGTGTCCACCGTCCTAATTGTCATCATCTCTTATGTCTACATCCTCTTCTCAGTCCTGAGAATGAGCTCCCCAGGCAGGCACAAAGCCTTCTCCACCTGTGCCTCGCATCTGACAGCTGTAACCCTATTCTACGGGCCTGTGAGTTTAAGCCACATACAGCCCAGTTCGAGATACTCACTGGAACACGAGAAAATCTCTGCAGTATGCTACACGCTGGTCATTCCTATGCTGAATCCGCTGATCTACAGTCTCAGGAACAAGGAGGTGAAAAATGCACTTAGAAGGGTGATGGCAAGGAAAAAATGCTGTTCATTGGCTTGTTTATCAGAATAATAATCAATTCCCTAGAAAAGCTGAAAGGAGAGGGAAATGAACGGTTCTGTGAATGAACAATGTTTTGTTTTACACTAATTATGTGTGGTGTAGGAATCAAATGTAAATGAAGAATTAGAGAAACTTTGACAGATACTTTTTAGTATCTTGAAGAAACGAGAAGACCTAAAGTGGTGGTTTTTTGGTCTGCCCGCTGTAACTTAAAACATTTCACTTAATTTTGAACATTAAAACTAAATGGACATTAGGGGGAGAAAAAAACCCTCATCTTCGCTCTTTGTTTTTTGCTATGTCCTTGCAATTCTCTGACACATTTTAAATTTCCTAGAGGAAAAGAAGAAATTTATCTCCTTCTAGTGTTTGTCTCCCATAGCATGTGTATATGGTTTTGGGGGAAAATTGTAGGAAAATATTTTAACTCTTTATTTCAAGGGCCAGAGGCTTACAAATTCAAATGCATGCTTGCAGTGTTAGTTCCCAGTGGTGACTCTTGCATTACCTATTTTTATTGCTGTTGCTGTGTTTTAATGGCATAGCTATATCTGATGTGGCTTACGTCACAGAAAGGAGTCCAGGTTGATGTTGGACTAGCACTGTCTACACAAAATCCTGTAAGTTCTCTCAGCTTTACTAACCGTGATTTCTTAGTAAATAAATAAATAGATAGATTGAGGATTTTGTTTTTTATTTATCTAATGTGGGAAACAACTTACTTTTCCACTGACGTACATTTTTTCATTGTCATTATGAGCTGTCAGCTGAGCAGTCTGTCTGTCCTCTTCACTTTCCATGGAGCTTTGTAAATGATGTGTCTTTCTGATCTTCCAGAAAAGAGGCACCCCAAATTATTGGGGTTGTCTATAAGGAGATGCTCTTCAGTAGCAGTGTCATGATTGGATATGTGCAGGAGAGAAGATCATCCGGTGCCCCAGGGTTTCATCTGTATTAAGTGGATGCTACTGGGATGCATAACCTGTCATTCAGCAATAGCAAGATTTGATGGGTATGAAGTAGGGTTTTTGTGAGTAGTTTTTTCACACGTTATCTGAGCCAGTGCAACACTCAAGAGGAAAGAAATGCAGAACGGAATGATGCTGTTTGTAAATTCTTTCATTCACCGCCTATGAGAAACAGATAAACAAGTGTTTGCTTGGCTAATTTTTGCATAAAAACCTATGATCAGAGGTAATGAAATCTCAAGGTGAAGAAGGACCATCTCTTGATCACACTTTCTTCATGTGCAAATTAGGCAGATAGGCGTTAGTTTAGATTTCACAGTACATTAACTTGAGAATCAGTTCCCTCCTCCCTGTTTACCTCTTAGGACCTCCCCTTTCTCTGGAGCTCAGAACCGTGCTAATTAATTTCAAGCAAATTGCATGGAAAAGTGCATGCAGATAAGGGCATGAATCCCATAACAGGACAAGAGGCAATAGGCAAAAATTGAAATTCAAGGAATTCTGTTTAAGCATAAGAAAAATATCTCTCGTATTATAAGGGTGATTGAAGATATTGTGGAGTCTCCATCCTTGGAGACGATCCCAACCTGACTGGACACAGCCCTGAGGAACCTGCTTTAGCTGACCTTGCTTTGAGCAGGGAGCTTGGACTAGAAGATCTCCAGAGGTCCCTTCCATCCTCAGTGAATCTGTGATTCTGTTACTGTCCCTAATGTAACTTGGAATAAGAATGTATTTTAACTCTGTGACTGTTTATGCAAATTGTTTACATTTAATGAAAACATTTTTATTTTTTGTCAAAGTAGTGTCGACTAATCAAGAAATTTTCTTTTTGCCTACAAAATGAAAAACAGTGTCGAAGAAAGCTAAAAGCCTACCTATCCCCTGAGAGCACAAAATGATGCATCAAAGGCAAATTACTTGAATTGCATTAAAAAGGATTGCAGCACCCCTTCTAACACTGATATGTCCCCTGGCAGTAGCTTTTACTTTCCCTTACGGACAGCACAAGAATCTTTTTTTTTTTCCATATTTGCTTGTGATAATGGACTTAGTATCATCTACTAATTCTACAGAACCCTTCCCCATGAAGCCTGTTATAGGTCTCAGATGATTTTGCTTTTTGAAACTATCCTGTTGGTCTGGTTCCACGAGTGAGACCCGATCAGCTAGCTATGTTGCAGTTCTAGGGTGCAATGGAGAACAGAACTGACACTTGTGCCTGATAGTGTGGGTGAGTTTAACTTGTGGCTCAGTACAATTTAAAGATGGAATATCAAAGCCATTTTGTTTGCTTGAAGTGTGAAAATGGTATGGCTTCAATGTGATGAAGATGTGTGACTGTTTGATACATAATACAGAGTGTTTTTGAGTGAGCTGTATAGATCCATCCGTATATATAAAAGGGAAAAAATCCTAATGGCGCACACATCTTTCAGAATAAAGGTTTCTAAAAACTTATTGTCCAGCAATTGTTTCTAATACCAAAAGCAGAAATAAAGAGCAGTGCAAGTCAGAATAATATCACAGTTGGTAGAGAGGAGGGAGGGGAGGACTCAAAACTTGATGTGAATCTAAATTGGCCTCAACTACAATTTTTTTGAGAGCTATAAATCAGAACAATTTCTTTCTTTGCTATAAACTTTGGGGGATCATCTTCTTTCTGACTGAGCCATTTCCTACTTTCTTATTTAGTTGAGAACTCCAGAAAGTGCTCTGAAAACTGTGCAAAAAATGCTCCCAGATTGTTTTCATTCTGGGAGTGCTGAATGCAAATATTGAATTTGCGAATGAAAGTATTGGCACTTCCCTA